TATTAATTTTTTTGAAATCATTCTACGTTCTTTTGTAGACTCGTTAATACAATAATTTGAAAATTTATTTTAACAACTTGTTCTAACGCGCTTTAATACTAAACCATTGAGAACATTTCACATCGCTGCAACTTCTCAACGAGTTTAAAACAGTTAATTTTTCAAACGTTTTGATCATTTGTTACGCGTTCTCTTCCGCAGGCCCCGTTAATGGTTAATAAATTTGTTTCAACGTCTAATTACTGGTACGTTCGTTAAAAAAAAAAAAAAGAAAAATTGGGAAGCCAACGCGCTTGGGGAACGCGGCGCTGAAAAATGTCGGGGATTATTAAAGAAGGATTTCTACACGCACGCGGTTTTTTACTCGGCGCGTCGTCTAACTCCGCCAGTTCCCACCGGGCAGATTTTCGTCGGATTTTGTAATATTTTCCAGTCACGTTCGGGATATGCATGAACTTTAAAAAGTGGCGCCTTCGTGCTTACGGAATATTAAAGTCACTTATATTTACTAGCGAGTAGATACTGTAGACATGTAATAACGCGCCGCGCCGTATTCTTTTCCTACCCTTCCTCACCCCTTCGTTTTGAAATTGTCGTCCATTCCCGCTCGTTTTGCGTATTCAGCGTAAGACGACGCTATTGCGCTACTTCCGATATTCGGGATTCATTGCCGGTTATTCTACATCGCTACTTCTGATTCCGCGGCCTATGAATATGAATCGCATCAATTACGTGGTACGTGATCCAGCTTATCGCCTACCGGGTGTTTAGAAAATAACGACTACGCGATTTTTTTCCCCTCCTTTCTCATTCGTCAACAATGGAATACAATTCAAGTGGATCCTTTTTAAATTTAATTACACCGTGTACGATTAATAGGGCAGGTAATCGTAAAATAATTACAGTCAAAATTCCAGTAAAATATGAATTCTAGAATAATAAATAAAGTAAAACGAGCTCGACTGATGAATGTAAACTCGCGGTGTTTTTCGCGGCTTCTATCGCATAATCTCGAAGGCGGAGGAAGAGCAACGTGACCTATGTATCCTACGGTTTTCGCGAGCCTTGGCTGGTTATCAGCAATCACGTGGTCTGCCTCTCGATCTCTCGAGTCCAACTTTTCGTAATGGATGCAGGACGCATCTATCATCCCTCGTCATCAACGTCAAAATCCTGGCCAAACACGGCAGCCATCGGCTGGCCGGTGAATACCGACTACTGAATACAAAAGAGCATCCAACGAATAGCACACGGGTACGTTCAACTATTATACCTTCCAGCTTCTTCTCCCTTCTGCTCGCGTTCCGTCTATATTCGTCTATGTACAGCCGCGCTCGTTATCGAAAATTACTCGATATCTTGAGCTGCTTTTTTTTCTTTTTTTTTTTTTTTTTTTTTTTATTTCTGACGGTTCTGGCCAATTGTTCGAGAAACCGCGATCGAAAGTACCGCGAGTCAAATATCGCTTGCGTAACCGGTGTGCAGAGATACGTTCGAGCATTTAAATTTAATATTTGGATGTCGAAGCTGTTGTAATTTCATTTTTTTTTTTTTTTTTGTAAAACAAGGTAATCTGGGTTTTTCAAGTATTTCGAAGTCTAAAGCCTCTGATTTGCACCGTTCTCTTTATTCTGAGATGTTTCTCCCACGTCACGCAGTGGCTGGAAAAGTGCAAGACACTTCTGTACTTGAAAATGTTACGAATTGTCGGTGGTATGTAAAAATATTGAACAATTTTTTTTCACGATTGAATCTACGATGGAGTTGAAGATCGAAGCCTCTGTTTTACAATGGCCTCTCGAAAGTTTCGACGTACAGTTTCTTTCTTTGCCATTTTATTGAACTCTGAATAGAGATTATTCAATATCGCTTGTTATTCAAAATTCAATAGATTGGTGAAAACAAATCGTGCAGCAAGTTTTTCTTTATATCCATTATCACGTGAAAGAAACTTTTCAATGTCTTTACGTATTATGATAATTTAAAGCATTTTCTGGTGGAAAAATATCTTTACTTTGCCATCTGTTACATAGTGTAAAGACATCTCAAAGTAAAATGAATTATGCATCTTGAAAACAAAGATCAAGCTTCGCTGTTTTCAAGAATTATTCCATTCGACGGCCAACTAACCAAACAACCCAGAAATTATTCAACTTATCATTTAAATAATCATTCCTCAAATATTTTGTATTCTATACGATACCTTGTAAACGAACGACAAATTTATGAAAGGAGGGATCATGAATCGATCTGCACATCTGATATAAACGAAGTTCGATTGTATTTCGAAAGGAAGACACATTTCTTTTTTTTCACAAGCAGACAATGCGGTCTCATGCACGTTTAACGATTTAGTTTTACGGGACAATCCGTGCGTTCGATGCTACGCGTTTCTTTGTTCCAATTTTCGTTTATATTCCGCAGAAGTACTTGGTAACAATTTGAAGCACAGTTTCTCTCTCTCTCTCTCTCTCTCTCTTGAGCTCATGAATTCTGATTGTAACGGTTACACGCGATATGCGAAATCGTTGCCACGATTCGCCGAATTCTATGTTCGAATTGTGGAAAAGCTAGGCAAAAAAATAAGTATAGAAAAGTAATCTTGCTCTTAGGGAACTTTCAACTTGATTAAATTTCAGCTTCGGTTCTAGCTTTCTAACTTATGCAAGCTCACTTAATATTGCCCAGCGAATTCCTCCGCCAATTTTGTTTCGTCTGTTGCTGCACGCCGAGTTTAGGCAAATTAAATTTCTATTCTTTATCTTTTAGAACCTCTGTTATTCAATATCCATACAGTCTTCTATCCGGATATTTATTACAAGTAGATAATAAATGCCCCTTCTTCTGCTAATTCATTTCATACAAGGCTGAAAAATTTTATCGAAAATGAGAATATATCTTTATAAACAAAAAAAAATAAATAAATCTTCATTCTTTATTTTCAAAATTCCACGCTTATTTTTGACACTCGTTCGTGAGAAAGTCGACGTCTTTCCCTCGAAATCATTTATTCAGTGCAGACGTTGCCTACAGTTAAATTTTTTTAAATTTTAGAAACAGACGAAAATGGCTGGATTTCTAATGAAGAAAGTGGTTTCGATAAAAAGACTTTTGACTTTTACCGTGAGCGGATTGGAGAAACTCATGCAAAACATTCGCGGAGATTTATTGTAGTAAGTAGTCATTATGTAGAAAAATAGCCATGTGACTTTAAAAATACAGAATTTATTTTTATTATTGTTTCATAAAGTGTAAGTCTAATCATTTGTTTCATTTTGATGAAGGCAAAACTTTTCAGTCTTTGTGTTCTTATATGTTTTGTCGTGTTTTTCATCATTGCGAGAACTTACTAGGAGACTAATATCGATAGAACATATAAGAGACTTTGTTTAATCAATATTTCATTGATGAGTGCAGAAGCAAAACATTGAAAATCGTCGATCAAGGTTTAGGTAAAAGATCGTTGCAAAATTTGCGTCGCGTACACGGACGGAAGAAGAGAAACTTTCAGGATCAATAAAAACAATACATCGCATAATTTGCAAATTTTATAGTTTAATTCATATTAAAGCGCGCAAAGTGGAAACAAAAATCTAGAAAGTTATTTTTTTTCATTAGAATATGCCGGCGTTCATAAAAACGTTGAGAGCGTCGATTACGAATTTCGCAAGAGTGTTAGCTGTTGCAGCACCTTTGAGGAAAACTTGTAATGCGTCCATTATTCCAGAAGCCAGCTGAAAATTTGATTGAATTTAAAAAGTAATCGTCAAACTACGTGTCTTTGAGAAATCGTTCCCCCATGACTCTGATTATTTACTCGTACATACTTTTCTTTTTATCACTTATTCACTTATCATTTTATCATTCATTAATCGATACTTTCAATTCTAAAGTTTCTTTTTTTTTTTTTTTTTTTTTTTCTTCAAAAGGCATGAGCGAGCAAAGAATACGTGTAAATTGAACAGACACGATTATCTGAGAGTTAATGATACTTACCGCATCAAAATTTAAAGAAAGAGAGCTACCAATGTCTTGATTCGATCCTAAGGTTCCGCAGGTTCCAAAGTCGACCAACTGTTTCGTTACAAAATCATAATTAGTGATGTCAGTATCGAAGGGAGTGAAGAATCGAAATTGTGCAAGCGTGTTTGAAGAAACAACATCATTGAAAGGTATTAGTCGATGGAACAGCGCGTGCTTTGGGGAAATTTAAGTCACAATTCTGTCATCTCGTGCTCTAAATGTAAGTCATCACTTAAAATTAAAGATGGCAAATGAATCAAGAATTTGTCATAGAAGAAAAATATCATCTTTTTGAAGATCAAAAATATTTCTTTTTGTTTTCTTACATTACATTTTATACTTTATATTGTTACGCATATTATTTTATTTTGTATATCATTTTTCTAGTAACAAATATATCGTTTTGTTCCATCAGTCTTAGTTCTCGTGAATTTCAATTTTGAAAAAAAAAAAAGACAAAAGATGTACATTGTGCTTGTGAGAAATAATTCTACAAATTTTTCCAAATATAATGATAACTGTCACAGTCATCGATGATCACTGATTTATATTTCTATAAATGTCTTGGACTGATTAGCTAGTAAATATTTCAGACGGGTATCATCAGCAAGGGAATTTCAAACAACATAAATGACTACTCGTAAAAATGAAAAATGCTCTTTCGCAGCAAAGTAATATTTTCTGAAAATTGAACATTTCGTCCCATAGTCGAAACATGTAAATTTCCCGTGACAGTCAATACGTCAAACGATCATTAAAGTGATCGGCACCTCGATTTCGCGTTAAATTTTCTGGACATTCTTCAATTTATTATAAAATTGGAAAGCAAAATGGTTTGACTTCAACTTCTTTAATGCAATTTTGCGCATAAGCTGGTTCTGTTATTCTTATGACAAATAGACAATATATTTTGTTTGGTAAATAATTTTACATATCAAATCATCATTTTTTACAGACAGTACAACTTTGTAACATCACGGTTAAAAATAGAATTGTTTTTCCAAAGACAAATTATAAATGACAGTTCTGTTTTTTTCGTTGTTAGATCTTGGTCTTTAAAATAAAATTAGAAAAAAGAAAACTTGCGACTGAAGAAACAATTATATAACGGGCCAGTCAGTTGCAAAACTTTTGAACTGAGTTATCATATTTTGTTTATTCTTTGAAACATGCAATGCATCCCCTATTTTCTCCATCTCGATTCTCAGCCGTAAATTTTTCGAAAATAAAACAATTCTAAAGCTAGCTGCCTTTTATTTGTCTGTGCTCAGTGTTGATGGAAATGAGATTAAAAGTGTCTTTGAAGATTGAAACAATTTTTATAAAAATTCACAAAATTACAGAATTAAATTTTTCAAATTTAACAGTGATGCGGGGGAAGAGATACAAATTTCAGGTAATAAACGACAGTTTTAATAAATAAGAAAAATTGTTTCGTTCATGTAACGAGCAACTTTCGCGACTGAGAGAGAGAGAGTTTGAAGAGAGCAACAATAGAACCGCGCATTCAATAAGGGAGTAGGAGGATATTATTGATCGAACGAAAAGTAATAAAAGAATAAAACAATTTCTCTATGTAAAATTTCGACATTTCGATAGATTTCGGTATCGTTTAGTCACAGATGGCTACATACCAATATATATATTATAATTTGTATCATATCAGACTTTTAGTATTCTCGCTGATAGAGGTTAATCATGAAATGAAATCGAACGGAAAGTTTTGTGCAAATCATGCAAGATCAAAATTTTTGTTCATCAAGGGGTGCAAGTGTTGGAATAAAATGCGTATACTTACCATCGACAGGCAGAATACAGCCAAAGTGAGAGCGACAACTGATTTCATTTTGAGAGTTTTGTTTTTATTGCACCAACGAAACTTGGTTCAATTACGACGTTTCGATTTTATGACGACGAGTGTTCTGTGCCTTGCTTTTATACAGGAAGCTATCGTTTTCGCGACCGTATGATAAATATCGTCGATTTTTCTTCTGTCAAGATTTTGACGTGTTTGCAAACACGTGACATCCTTACAGAAAAATCGTTTTGGTTCTTCTATTGAAAAGGTTATTATTCAAAGTGCACGCACGCCGAAATGCAAACTTCGATAATGGATTTCGAAGACAAATGGAAACTTGTTACAACTTCACAGATTTTATTTAAATATTTCGCTCGGTGATCATTTTTAATTTACAGTAAATGTCTTTTTTTCGAACATTCTTGTTCGTACAGTGTTTCTAGTTGACATTTAATCATTTGTTGTTTCGATATATCGTTATTTTCGAATAATGAATGGCGACTAAATTAAGAGTCATTTAAATTGAATTAAATTGCATTTAAAATGAAAGTTCGAATGATTTTGAAAATTGAAAATTTGAAATAAAATTTAAATTAAATCATTTAAAACAGGTTAAAAGGAATTTTAAAAGTTCGTTCAAAGCTTTTGGAAATACAGACGAGAAATAAAAAATATTACTTTTATCGTATTGTATTTTAGTATTCTTTACGTTTCTTTTATCATTAAACATATAATTACGTTCTTTTATCTTTTTTTTATATTGAATGATCTTAAAATCGTGTTACAATCGATTAGAAAATAATTCTATGTACAGAAAAAAAAATAACTCGAGAAGAACCCAAGTACATAAGTTAATAATTAATTTTATAAGTAATAGTAGCGATAGATACAATAATCGATGCTCTGATTATTAATATTATCCACGAATTCTATAATGAGTAGAATGCGGATTTTTATGCATTTATAGGAAATTTGAGAATGCAGAAATGCGCAAAATATGCATATAAAACATCGATAATAGAATTCGTCGCAATTTATTTAATTTTTTACAAATTTTACAAATTGTTTTACTTGGGTTTTATTTTTTTGTCGTATTTGTAACAATGCGAAAGATCCGCAGTCTAATGATTAATTATCTTCCACGTGATGTTCTTAACCGGGGAAGAGATTTGCATAGTCAATTAGTGTATTTTCTTTATCACGGTAACACGGCTGATATTTCTTCGCGTTTGTTACAACTTATAACATTTCTGTACTTTTGTTATTCATAATTATTACAGTAGAAAATTGACTATCTGAATCAACTGAAAGCAAGGTTTCTTCCGATCTAACTGGATGTAATTGTACATTCTTGTAACAAGAGAAAATTTGAAACAAATGTCGATAAAAGAATTTGAAAATTCGATCATTTATCTCCTCGTTACATTAGCTTTTCACCAAGGGACAAATGGATCAAATTACGCAGAAAGCTATTAACCC